CAAACTGATATATAGGTTTAACCCAATTCCACCAAGGTTTTTTGTGGACATAGATATACTTATTTTAAAATTGAAGAGATAAACACAGTTTTGCTAACACAATTTTAAAAAACAAAAATAAAGTGAGAGAAATCACTCTACCCAATGTTAAAGCTGACTACAGGGTATCAGCACAGGGATATTCATATTCATCAATGGGTCAGATTAGAGAATCCATGAGGAGATCTACACAAATATGCTGAGCCAGTTTTAAAGTTTTTATTTTTTAATGTAGTAATATTGTGAAGAGGGCACCTTGGGGTTCTCTCCTCAAGTGAATGTCTTTGAAATGAATTCACACTTTTGCACCTTACAGCCTGCAGTGGGTGGGGTATCCTGATTCCTGAAATATGGTCGAAGTATCTTTCCTATTGTCCTGGTGCAAAGTACTTGGTTTCTTTTTAATGCCACTCATCTCTAAATGCTGCTTTGCTGCATTTTTAAATGCACTTCTTGCAAACTTTGAATTTTTCAAATCTTTCCATTCTGACTTTTGCCCCTAATTTTTACTGTAAATTTCCATCCTGTAGCCTGAACTATGTATTGCCTTAACTTGTCTGTCACCTTTAAATTGGTCCTCTTACAAAGTCTCAGGGCATGAACCAAAAAAAAAAAAATTCAAAATTCTTTGCCACATGTAATATGGACAGCCTATAATTCAGTTGTCAATACAATCCTCATTCCTATCTGAAACCTACTCATCTTGGCCTTTATTTTCTGCATTTCTATCAACAGTTTGGTCTTTTGAGCCCTTACCAGAATTGTCCATTAAACTTTTTTTACAGCACTCTAGACTTCTCTACCTTTTCCCTCAAATTTTCAAACTCCTTATGCAAATCAATTGCAAAGTCTTTTCCACATTTTCTAAGGTGCAGTCACAGCAATGGCCATATTTTTTAGTACCAAATTTTTGTGTTAGCTTTCTGTCACTGTGACAAAAATACCTTAGATGATCAATTTAAAGTGAATTTTTTTTGTTTGTTTTATTTGTTACTGGGGATTGGACCAAAGATCACTTTACTCCTGAGTCCTTTTCATCTTATTTTTTTTTTTTTTTTAAGTTTTGAGACAGGGTCTTACTAAATTGCCAAGGTTGGCCTCAAACTTGCAATCCTCCTGCTTCAGTCTCCTGAACTGTTGAAATTACAGGCATGCATCATCGTGCCCAGTGATAATCAAATAAAAGAGAGAAAAAGATCGATTTCAGTTCATGGTTTCTGAGGTTTCAGTTTGTCTTTGTGCTTTGGGCCTGTGGCGTCACAGTGTATCATAGTGAGGACCTGACAGAGTCCTGCTCATCTCATGGTGGATGGGAAGCAAAGAGAGAAAGAAAGGGACCAGGATCCCTGTACCCCTTTAAGGCATGTCTCTAATATTCTAATATCTTCCCACCAGACCCCATCTCTGAAAGGTATCACTGCCTCCCAATAGTGTCACAGTTGGGGACCAAGCATTTAACACAAGGGCCTTTGGAGTATGTTCATGATCCAAGCTATAGCAGGTAAAATTAACATCTTAACAACATTAATTCTTCCAACTGATAAACATAAAATGTCTTTACACTTATTTATGCTTTCTTCAATTTCTTTCAGCAATATTTTTTAGTTTGCATATATGTCTTGATTAAGTTTTTTCCCAAGTATTTCATTTTGCTTTTTATTGTAAATAGGATTTTACCTTAATTTCTTTTTTGAATTGTTCAATGTTAGTGTATAGAAACCCAGCTGATTTTTGTATTTTGACTTTTTATTTTGCAACTTTGCTGAATTCAATTATTAGTTCTAATATTTTGTGTGAAGTATTTAGGTTTTCTACATATACAAACATATCATATGTTAATAGAGATAATTTTACTTCTTTTTAAATATTTGAATGCATTTTGTTTCCTTTTCTTGCCTAATTGCTTAAGTTAGAACTTCTAATACTATGTTGAATAGAAGTAGTTAGCATGGGCATCCTTGTCTTGGTTCTGATCTTAGAAGGTTTTCAGTGTTTTACCATTGACTACAATGTTAGCTGGGGGATTTTTACATATGGCCTTTATTATTCTGAGGTAGGTTCTTTCTCTTCCTAATTTGTTAAGTGTTTTTATCATATGAAGGGTGTTGAATTGTGTTGAAATGCCTTTTCAGCATCAATTGAAGTAATCATGTGATTTTCCATCCTTAATTATGTTAATGTAGGGTGTTATATTGGTTGATTTTTTGCATGTGGAAACATTCTTGCATTCCAGAAATAAATCTGTTGGGGAAGGCCAGTTAGGCTTCCTTGCAGAGGCTTCCAGCAGGTTATGTTATGTTTTTATCATGTAGCCAAGGCCACTATTAGTGTGTAGTCAAGGTCAGAAACACCCTGATTCAGTGTGCATACTTTGCTTGTGAGCATGTGTGCACTGGTGTAAGCTGTTGGCAGTGTGCCTTCTTTGTTTAGACTGTATTCAAAAATGGGCTAAATGGAACTGATGGGAGCAAAATGGAACTGGATGGGTCTAAAGCTGAAACTGGCTGAGGCTGTTTCCACCTCTGAATAAAGGCTGACTCAACCATGTCTTGCCTCTTCTTTCACCTGCCAGGATTTCAAATCTGTTTCCTGGGTCTAAGCCCTTGCATAACAGAATCTCTCTGATTTTAGAATAGGATCAATTTAATATGCTCTTGAATTTGAGTTGTTAGTATTTTGTTTATGATTTTTACATTAACATTCATCAAGAACATTGGTCTATAGTTTTCTTATAGTGTATTTTGCCTTGCTCTTAAGGTAATTCTGACCTTGTAGAATTACCTTATCTTCAACTTTTAGGTAAGCTGAGAAAATGATTTACCTCTTTGAGTGATTAGAAGAACTTTTTATTGAAGCTATCTACTGCTGCACTTTGTTGGGGGCGGTGATTATTGAGTCAATCTCTCCTTATTACTTGTAAGTCTCTTCATATTTTTTCTATTTCTCTATTATTTGCCCAACTGACTTCTGACAAAGGTGCAAAAGTAATTTAATTGAGGAGGGAGAGCCTTTTCATCAAATGTCACTAAAGCAATTGGACATCCATAGGCAAAAGAAAGACAAGCAAAACCTTACATCTTATACTGCAAATGGACCATGAAATTAAATATGACATACAAAGCTTTTAAAAAATATATACAGGAAAATATTTGGAACCTAAAGCTAGAAAAAACTTTTTTTTGATATGATGCTACAAGATACTACAAGCATATGAGGAAAAACTAGATAAACTGGACCTAATCAAAATTTAAAATGTTTATTCTGTGAAAGACCCTGTTAAGACAATAAGGTAACAAGTTGAAGACTGAAAGAAAATACTTGCAAATTATATACCTGGCAAAGAAATAATAATTAGAATATGTGAAAAAGTTTCAAAATAGTAAAACAACAACAACAAAAAACAACCTTAATGATATAATTATAAAATGGACAAAAGATATAGGGACACATTTCCAAAATATATACATAAATGGCAAATAAATATATAAAAAGATATTCAACATCAATAGCCGGTAAGAAAATCTAATTTTAATCTAAAATAGATATTTCTACACATCAAAAAGGTTAAAAAAGACATAGTAATGATATCTCAGACTGGCAAATATCTAGAGAAACAGGATAATTGTTTCATTATTGGTAGAAATTTAAGATGATAAAACCACTGTGGAAATAGTTTGGAAGTTTCTTGTAAAATTGCATGCACTTACCATATGACTCAATAATTGTGCACTTCTCACATAAACCTAAACACAAATGTTCACACAAATTTTATTTTTATTGACACCAAACTAAAAACAAATGTTTTTCCACATGTCCATGGTAAATAAATTGTGTAAGTATAACACACCAATAAAAAAACAACAAACTACTAAAAATAAAAAAGAATAAACTACTGATGCACACAGTGACTTGGATCAATCTGAAGGGAATTATACTGAGTAAAAAAAAATCTCATCTGAAGAGATGACATATTATTTGGTTGAAATTTTATAGAACATTGTAAAATTGAGAATAGATTAGCCATTGCCAGGGGTTAGAGATGGGTAGGGATGTAAAAAGGTAGCATGAAGAAGATCCCTCTGTGGTGATGTAATAGTTATGTATCTTGATGTATCTTGATTACTATAGTGGGTGGTTACATGAATCTACACATGGATAAAAGTGCAAGGACACAGTGCACATATTCATGCACACATCAATGCATCTAAAATCGATGACATCTGCACAAGCTCTGTAGTGGTAACACTGAAAATTCCAGGCTTATTCCTATCCTTTAGTGGAAGGAAGCACAGAGATATCTGGTATGTTTAATCACTGGAAGAATCTAGAGCTAACAGACCAAACTGTGTTTGGGTGAGTAGGTATCTGGTGTCTGTCATCATGATATTATGTAAGATGTTTAATTGACACTTTTTACTTATTCACTTCTATAGGCAAAAACTTGAAGCAGGATTTCGTTAACAGCACTGTTAAATAAAATCTGTGGGGATCCATGCAATTTGAACAAGCACCTCTACTGGGCCCAGCAGTCCAAACCAGAATAGAGTTGAATCACAATACCTGAGCTTTGGTTGGTTGCAGGAGGAATTGTAGACAATTAACTAATCAAGCTGCAAGCAATTAATTGGTTAAGATGTAACCCATTGACTGATTATTCAAGGTGTTGTTAATTAAGTTGTTTTCTAGGTCTCACTTCTGTTTTTCATCAATGCTATCAGATCACATTGTTGGTTAGAATTCTCATAACTTGCTCTAGTTCCGGGGGTTAGTCAAGAATCAGAACGTACTCAAGAAACAATTTTTTTTTGTCTTGATTTGCTCAAGTAAACTGCTAAATTTAGTTATAAGGAATTTTCTTTTGATAGTACTTTAATATGAAAAAAGTTTTAATTACCAAGTCTAAATCACAGAAAAGACCTAATTCCTTGAAGAAAGATAATGAAATGCATCTCCTTTCTTACCCCAATAATGTATAGCACTACATTCTTGTAGAAAGAATACAATATGCATTTGGTCACTCGAAAATAGTTCCAAGTTCCATGAACCAACAGAAGCTTCTCCAAGTATCTAAACTGAAAAGAAACAATAGTCAACAAAACAAAAGTTGAAATGAAAGTACCATTTAGTGTGAAAACCCACAAAGTATTATGTTCCCAGTATTTCATAATTTAGCAGTTCCCCCTTTAGCAAATGTAATATAGAAGAGGAGAGAATGAACATTAGTCCTAAAACAATCTGACATGGCACTTGGCTATAATGACCTTTTTAAGAATTCTCTTGTTTCAACAGTAACAACAAAAATAAACCATTAATTATCACTTTTTGTCCAGCAAATGGTGCTTTGTTATTAATCATAAAAGGTATGGCTTTTTCAAAATTATATTTGTTTTTTGTGCCTGAGTCTTAACTAAATACACGTCTAGGATCTTAATCATAAGAATGAGTCAGAATTATTTAATATAAAAAACATCATATTGGAAACAGGAAACTCAGATTCAATCACTGAGTGTTTTGTCTGATCAGGTTGAAGTAATAATGTCTCGTAGGAATCAGTTACCTGTTTCCTATAGGGTTATACAAAATTACATACAAGAGGAAGTGAGGGGAAAGGGAAAAATAATACAAGGGGGAGGAATGAATTACAGTAGTGGGGGTAGAGAGAGAAGAGGGGAGGGGAGGGGAGGGAAGGGGGCATAGTAGAGGATAGGAAAGGCAGCAGAATACAACAGACATGAGTATATCAATATGTAAATCAATGGAAGTGTAACTGATGTGATTCTGTAAGCTGTATACGGGGTAAAATGGAAGTTCATAACCCACTTGAATCAAAGTGTGAAATATGATATATCAAGAACTATGTAATGTTTTGAACAACCAACAATAAAAAAAAAAAAAAGAAATAACAAAAAAATGTAACAAGGACAAAAGGGCAGGACTCTGGGACACTCCTGAATCTCCTCACCCCCATCTTCTTTTTGCTTTTCTTCCAGTGTAAGATGTACTGGATCTATTCATTGCAATGTAAGCTGCATACAGAAATGAGTTAGCTTTCTATTACTGTGACCAAATACCTGAGACAATCAACTTGTACAGAGAAAAGATCTGTTTTGCCTCATGGTCTTAGTGGTTTTGGGCCACAGTCAGTTGGCACCTTTTATCTGGGCCTGTGATGAGGCAGCATATCATGGTGAGAGTATGTGAAGATGGAAGTTGTTCACTACATGGTGGTCAGAAGGCAAAGTCAAAGAAATGAAGGCCTGGGGTTCCCAATATTCCCTTCAAGGACCTGTTCCCAAAGAACTAACTTTCTCCCACCAGGCCCCACTTCCTAGAGGCTTCACCCCTTCCCAGTAGTGCCACAGGCTGGGGACCAAACCTTTAACAAGTGGGCCTTTGGGAAACATTTCTAAACCTTAGGAGGGCAGGACTCATGGTTTACTTTGTTCATTGACCAATCCAGCACACCTAGAAACATACCCAGAATGTGGCAGGGTCTCAATAAACATGTTTTAAATGAACATGTTTAAATTAAACATGTTTAAATTCATGAGTTATTCTACAAAATGAGGCAATTCATGGTAATTTAGTTAAGTCCTTAATTTAAACAGTGACTTCAAAGTGAAGTTGGTAAATATACCAAAAAAATAATTAACCTTTAAAACAAAGATTAACAGTGGAACATGAAAAGGCAGGATAGAGAGAGAGATATTTAATCATAAGATGCATAACTATACCAAAAATAAGTAAACTTGAAAAGAACATTTGAAACCCAGAACCAGATAATAAACTTGAGTCACTATACACAACATTTCTATTCCTATCAGTTTTTAGTTTTGCAATGATTTATCTCCAGGGGTGAAAAAAATTCTAAATCAAAGTTCTCTGTTTATTAGGATAGTTTTAAAATAGTAAGACATTTGGGGAGGAGATAGCAAATAATGAATTCTCATCAGAGAGTTTTGAAGAGAATATTATACTGATGTGCTCTGGGCAGGGGAAAGTTGTACCCAAGAGGTCATAAGGCAAAATGATGGTTCGTTGTTGACCTATCACTGAAACTCAGACAAGGGTAAAATGAAGATAGGGTAGAAATAGACAAATTTCCACCACAATATTGGGGATAAGCATCATTCTGGGGGAAGTAGTATCACACATTATGGTAGCACTATTCTTTTTAGCTCCAATATAAGTTGCTGTTGCTTAAAATAAGATGGGAAAGCAAATTTATGTGACTTAAAGTGCTTCCATAAATCTGAAATAACTTTTTAATAGGGGCCAAAGCGTGAATCAAAACAATACACTGCATTAGGGACTGCTTGGTGTGTCAACTTTGGGGCATCCAGAAGGAAGAAAAGAAAGCCTAAAAAGTTATACTGTCTGCCTAACCACAAATGCAGCTGTGATGAGGGAGTCCAGAACAAAGATAAAAGAGGATTCAGATGGCAGGTGCCCTGCATGAGGACAAATGCTGATCTCCTTGAACAAAAGCTCACAAAATCCTACCTCCCTTCTGGATTTTTCTTTAACTCCAAAGAGAACAACCTCATAATTTTAAATCCCAAGATTTGGTTTTTAAAGGAAAGGCTGTAGTCTCTTTCTTAGATATACATAAGAAAATGGCAAACAACTATTCCTCTAAGACTCCAGGGTAGTGATCCCTGACAGTATTGTGCATCTATGGTGTTTAACAATTCAAGGCTATATCATATATAATTGCTGAGACTATGAGAAGCATGTGTCTCAATGGTAGTTGGTACTTAAGGAAAAGATATGAGGGAGTTTGGTGCGACCATTTCCTGTCTATAGACAGATGCTATGATCATAAGCAAATAGCATGCTTCTCAACTCAGACCTCCTAACACACGGAACCACAGTTTACCTCTCTATACAACAGCACATTTAATCCATGCATATGTAGGTTAGAACTGATCTGATTCAAATATGGACCTCTAAGAATATCTGCTATACAGTTGGGGATATAGTTTGGTGGTAAAGTATATGCTTCACTTATGCAAGGCCCTGGGTTTGATAACAAGCACCATATTAAAAAAAAAAAAAAGGAGGAGAAAAGGAGAAAAGTATGATGTCGCCATTTTAGCTTCAGGTATCTACTAACCTGTGAGTGGATTAAAAAATCATATAGCTTCTCAGAGAGAGGGTATAATAACAACTGCCCCAAATAAGGATAACCTACCCAGAGTTCTATGGGTATTCCTAGGGAGATTTTCTAAGATTACATGAAGCTTCTGAATTCAGCAAGACTGCAAAGTGTTGCTGCTAATTATTAGTCGAATGTGATGAAAATATTATAGTCATTAAAAGTCAATATTAAATTATTAAATAAAAATTATATCCTTCAAAAGTCAAAATACTAAAGTGTAAAAACAGGAAAATGTTTTGTTAAATAGTAAAGGATATTGTGTGGTGCTATCTCTATGATTCTGGTGAATGTTAGCCCATAGTTTTAATTGGTTCTATGCCTCTAGTCCCCATAATCGTGAGGTTGGCTGCTTCCATATGAAAAAATCAATCAAGAAATGGCTATTGCTATGGTTTAGATGTTGTCTGTTCTCCAAGGATCCATGTATTGGAAGTTTTGTCCCCAGGGTAGTAATATTGGCACCTGGTGTGGGGCCTTCAAGATGTGGAGCCTAAGGGGAGGTATGTAGGTGATTGGGGCCTTGCCCTCAGAATAAATTAAGGCAGTTGTTATGGGACCCCTTGGTAGCTCACTTGAGAGGCTTATTATAAAGGCCTGAGCTTGGCCTCAGCCAGGCTTCTTTGGCTTTTTGTACCAAGATGTAATCATGTGTTCCCACATATGCTTCTACCATTGCCATCCACCATGATGTTAGACAGCTAGAGGGTCCTCACTAGAAGTCAGCCAATGTAGGCACCATGTCCTTGAATTTCCTAAACAGAGCTAAATAAACCTTTTCCTTCGTAGTATCCTGCCTTAGATAATTTTTTATAGCAGCAAAACTTGACATATACAGACATAAAAGGGAATTTCCTTTAACAAGATTGTAGTTATTCTGCCTGGGGAAGTTGGAATATCACTTAGATGATACTGCTTTATAAATAAATAAAAAAAATAACAATGGTGAGCAAACTTGCTTGTTCCCAGCTTCTGGGTCATTAGGCCAAATAATAGCCACTTTGCCTAGGAATTCAGCTATTGACTCCTATGTTAAAAAATGCAGAGTGATTTACAACTGGTCCCTATGTAAAAAATGCAGTTATAAGTCATGAGTATATACTGTTCTTAAATATCTACTTTTGGAAATAATTTGGCAGTTTCTTACAAAACAAAACATTCTATAACACAATCCAGAAATCCCATTCCTTAGTATTTACTCAAAGGAATTGAAAATTTGTGTTCATCCATGCAAAAATTCATACATGGATATTTATGGACACTTTAAGTCCAATGGCCAAAACTTGAAAGAAACCAAGATGAATTTTAGTAGGGGAATGGATAAACAAATCGGCAATCTAGAATATGGAATATTATTTGGTGCTAAAAATAAATAAGCTGTTTAATCATGAAAAGACATGGGGGGAAATTACATGCATATCAAGTATAAGAAGTCAGTCAAAAAGGCTATATGCTGCATGATTTCAAATACATAACATTCTGGAAAAGCAAAACTATGGTAATAGAAAATTATCAGTAGTAGTCAGGAGGTGGAGTGTGGAAGAATAAACTGATAGAGCACAGAGGATTTCTAGGGAAACTACTCTGTATGATATCATAATGGTAAATACCTATCATTTTACATTTATTCAAATCCATAGAACATACAATATCAAGAGTGAACCATAATGTAAACTATGGACTTTTGGCGATTATGATACATGGATGTAGGATCACAGTTGTAACAGCTATACCACTCTGGGCGTGGGGTTGTTGACAGTGCATGGGAAATCTCTGTACCTTCTGCTCAGTTATTCTGTGAATCCAAAGCTGCTTTAAACAATTTTTTTTTTAAAAACTGCCAATAAAAAAGGAAATTAAGAGATTGTATGTCTTTAATAAATCTTTGTCACAAGATACCATAAAGCAAAATACACATTGTAAGGAGACTGAGGATTTAGAGATTATATTAACAGGACTATAAATTCTTAGTGGCATTAGTTTGACCCATCATCTGCAGAGCTGATCAATGAAACTCCAAAGTGTATAAGGACAAAAACTTTAAGAACTCCAAATGTGTGGAATTTTTCTTACGAGGCAGCTTAGAGAGGTTAGGTACACCTCAGTGGCAGATGGAAACTCATCAACATCTCCCATGCCCAGCTGGTGTCCCACAGCACTGACCTGAGCAATGGAGTAATCTGAGTTGTTGGTGGCCTGCATGCCCTCATTCCCACTGATCCCTACTCCCACATGGGCCATCCGGATCATCCCCACATCGTTGGCACCATCCCCAACAGCAAGAGTGATGGCCTCTTCGTGCTTCCTCACCAAGTCCACTATTTCAGCTTTCTGGAGGGGAGATAGCCTGAAAAAGAAGATAGACAGAACCACTTTTAAAGGTTGCGTTTAGGTTCATTTTACTTCACACTATTCTAAAAGTTTTTACAAAAAAAGTCAACAATAATCAGCACATAACTACATTTAAATGGAAGATACTAGTAAGTTTTCCAATTCTTTTTTAAAATACTTCTTTTAGTTATACATATATACAATATCTTTATTTTGTTTATTTATTTTTATGTGGTGCTGAGGATTGAACCCAGTGCCACACACGTGCAAGGCAGGTGCTCTGCCACGGAGCCACAACCCCAGCTTCAGTCAATAAAACCACCTAAAGCTATGTTTCATGTGCAGGCATAAGTTTTCTAATTCTTTCATGAGACTTTTTTCATATGCAAAAATGTTCCCACCACTCCCACCAATAAATAAATAAATAACATAGTAACTTCTTCAACATTGCAAAATAAATTCTTATCATTTCCTAGTTTACATGCAGAGAGATGTAAACTCCCTCTGTGTGACTCAAACCTGCATATTAATTTACGTTAGCTATCTACATGAGGGAAAGACAGATGTCTCCTATTTATGACACTATTTAAAAGTCTTTATACTAAGGGTGGGATATGAAGTAGCCTTTGAAAATCAAATTACACCCCATTGAACTTGAATTAAATAGAGTCAAAGTTGGACTCTGATAACTAACAACAAACACAAGTGATGTAACAGCATGAAATCTTGTTTCCTTCTCATGCTATGTGAACAGTACAGATTAGAACATTATCATTGATTTTTTTTCTGAGGCAATCTACAAAAACAAATTTAATAATCCTAAATAATTTCAGGCTAGCAGGTCCTGTCTGTGCATGAAATATTTTCAAAGATTCAAAGGAAGAAGCAGCAAAATGCTTTTTTCCTATTTACCACTTATTGTTTCATTTACTCAATAATTTGATGTATAGCTCTATCAAAAAATGATGACTACACAAAGATTTCATTTTTATTTTCTAGTGAGTGAATGACCTCACTATTCCTTTCTCTCAAAAAAGCTCCTGAAAACTAATTTAAATTAAATTAGATGAGTTTATTAAAAACTAAGGTAATAGTTGGTTTCCTTGATTAGAATTAGGTACGAGGTGACCCCCAAAGCTCAAGTGTGAGATAAGGCAAGAAAGATTAGAAGTGCAACCATGGAGTTGTGAGAGACTTACCCTAATCAGTACATTAATCCCCTGATAGAGATTAACTGGGTGTTAACTGTAGGTAGGTGTTAAGGTCTGTAAACAAGTCAAAATAACACCTGGTATTTTGCCAGAGAAATGTTAGAGTTCCTAAACAAGTCTGGATGGTGCCTGGCAAAATGCCAGAGGGAGTGGTTTGAGAAGTAACAAAAATGAGCCATTAAGTGTTGAGATTCCTTATTGGTTGACTGATGTATCTAGTTTATGCTAATTAAGATAAGCTGTGCAAAATGTATAAATAGCTCTGTTGTCCTACAATAAAGGGCTTCTATTCCTGCTGTATCAATGTGTGGAAGTTATTCGTCCCCCCCCCCCCCAGTTATTCTGCTGCAGCCGGACTGCGGCAGGTAGGTAGGGTGAGGCTGGAAGAGGTGGGGCACTGAGAGCAAGCCTTTGGGCTTCATATTTTATTTGTTGTTGGAGGAATACTCTCTGCTTCCTGGTGCCATGTTCTGGTCTGCTTTCCTCCATGACACTCTTCTGCTATGATGTTCTCCCTTACCTTGGACCCTGAGGACATCTATGGACTGAGATCTCCAAAATGTGAGCGCTAAACAAACTCTTCCTCCTTTAGAATTGTTGTGAGGACCTTGGTTCAGAGTGGTGAAAAAGCTGACTAAAACAAATGTGTTAGAACTTTTGTTTCATGATCAAGAGGACATAATGAGTTAAAATCACCACCTTGTGAAATAGAGTGGAAAAGAGTGAACATTTTCTGAAGTAGGTGTTAGAAATCAGGTATGTGTTCCCACCAAGACTCTGGTGCTTTTACTAGAAAACTTCCAGTGTTAATAACTTTACCATCTGGTTGGACAACCACTTTCACACTCAGACTACTGGATCTGTGAGAAATGCAAATCTCGCGCACGCGCGCGCGCGCACACACACACACACACACACACACACAAACTCGTATCAATCCCAAACCTGACTTCATATTTTCAAACCTTAATTCCATTCCCTGGGCCGATCAGAGCTCTGTAAATACAGCAGGAGAGTGACTGGGACCTTTAAGCCCTCTCTTCCTTCTGCTTAACATCAAGTTCCTACTAATTTCACGAGGTAGTTCTGAGTCTTTCATTAAAACTCCAAATTAGTCCTTACCAGATAAGGATAAAAATGGAATCTCACCCTTTTGGATTTTTACACCTACATTACCAAATTTGTGAAAATGAAATCTAAAATGACATTTGCCTTATATATTAAACTTCAGTCAATAAAACCACATAAAGCTATGTTCCATGTGCAGGCACGAAGCCAAATCTCCCAAGTTCTATGGTTATACCATCATTGATGTCATTCCATCCATTAAATGGTCTTTGCATTCATATCTGGCAAAGTTTGTCTTGTCATTTTATTGGCTGAAACAGCCTAAAATTCCCATAGTGGTCCCATTCAGGAAAACTGAAATAAGGATTGGGGGGAATTTACCCAAAATAGTAAGGGCATAGATAAAAAACAAACTCAGTTTTTCCTAATCTGTACTAACACACAACACTGAATGCTTCTGAGCACTAATGAGCAGACCAAATGTGACTCTTCTGGTTTGGATGTGAGGTGTCCCCCAGAAGCTCATGGGTGAGATAATGCAAGAAGGTTTGGAAGAGAATTAATTCATTGATTAGGCTAATAGCCTTAGCCTAATCAATGAATTAATCCCTGATGGGATTAACTGAATGGTAACTGGAGGCAGGAGGGGTGTGGCTGGAGGGGGTAGGAATTGGGGCCTGGCTTTGGGGTATGTACTTTGTATCTAGCAAGTGGAGTCGCTCTTTCTTTGCTTTCTGATCACCATGTGAGCTGCTTCCCTCTGCCACACTCTTCCGCCATGATGTCCTGCCTCACCTCGAGCCCTAGGGAATGGAGCCTGCTATCTATGGATTGAGTCCTCTAAAACTGTGAATTACCAAATAAACATTTCCTCCTCTACAGTTGTTCTGGTCGGATCTTTGAAATGGCTGACTCATACAGTGACCAAATGTGGTTGGGGGTATTTCTCCACACACCAAGCAACCAATCAGTTCTCCAGTGGACACCAACAGGGTGTCATCTAATACGATTCAATTCTGAAGCTATCATCCTGGATGTAGTGTCAGATGCTACAGGTTAGGGGCTCAGTGCCCAAGACCACCCTCGCCCCACTTCTAACAAATGTTCCACAACCCCCTCCACAGGTTTGACTCATTTGCTAGAGTGGCTTCAGAACTCAGGGAAGTTTTTACTAACACTTTTTTGTTATTGCTGTTGTTGATTGCAAAGGGTGCATGCAAGAGGAAAGGGTGTGAAGCTTCCATGCCTTCTCCCACCCTCCAGGCACCTCTACATTTTGGCTATCTGGAAACTTTCTGAAGCTAGCACTTTGGATGCCTATAGGAAGCTACATTATGTTGCATGATTGATTATTGGCCATGGTGATCAATTTAAACTTATGCTCCTTTTGCTCCCAAGAGGTGAGGGATAGGGCTTAGATAAAAAGGGCTTAATAAAATCTTAATAAAATCAAAATCTTTAATCCTGTTTTGGTCTTATGATCTCTTCCTGTCCTGAAGCTATCTAGAGTTTCCAACCACCAGACATCTTGTTAGCATGCAAAAGAAATTCTGTGACCTTTGTTGTTATAGCAGATTTCTTCCAACTTGTCATTCATTAATAAGCAATTTACCAGTGAAAAATTTTTAACTGCTTTCCTGTAAATCTTAATCCGGACAATTAGAATTCAATACAGACTTTTGCATTTCTGTTTGAGAATGCATTTTCCCAATAAGAAATGTTGTCTCTGAAGAAATTTACATTTTCAGTTCTATATTTTCTTCATATACTATACTGTTAATACAGTAGTAAGTACAACAGAGAAAAAAATGAAGAATGAATATATTCTTACCTACAACATAATACTGCTCTACATGAAAGGGCCAAATCTAGGAACTTCTTCTGAATTTCAAACCTTAAGGCATACTTCAATGTTTCACCATCAATAATTAGGGCCAAGTCGTTCTCTTTACCTAATAAGTTTCCAAGATCTCCACAGTTATGGTTAATTGTTTGTTGTGCTGCCTAAAATAGGAGGAAAGCATAACTTTGTATTTCTCATATAAACAAAAAGACATCTGAATCAAGATGGAGGATTGAGGTACATTTTTTTTTTTTTTAGTTGTTGTTGGGACACATGCCTTTATTTTACTTATTTTTATGTGGTGCTGAGGATAGAACCCAGCACCTCGCACGTGCTAGGCGAGTGCTCTACTACTGAGGCACAACCCCAGCCCCAGTGGTACATGTTTACTTCATTCTTTGCTTCAAAAAATTTCACTGATGGGGTGGGGATGTGGCTTACTGGTGAGCATCTTCTCTGCATGTATAAGGTACTAGGTTCAATCCCCAACATGAAAAAGAAAAAAAAAATGAGATGAAAAAGTAAATAAATATCATGAAAAGATGCTTGATATAATTAACCATTAGGGAAAAGATGCTTGATATAATTAACCATTAGGAAAATTCAAATTTAAAGCATAGCGGAGTACCACTTATACCTGCTTACATGGCTAGAATCGAAAATAAATAATAGTCCTTAGAAGGAAAAATGAAGCAGGTGGCATCACTATACCAGACCTTAAACTATACTACAGAGCAATAATAACAAAACCAGGATGGTATTGGCACCAAAACAGACTGGCAGACCATGGTACAGAATAGCGGACACAGAAACTAACCCACAAAATTACAATTATCTTATATTAGACAAAGGTGTCAAAAACATACACTGGAAAAAGGATAGCATCTTCAACAAATGGTGCTGGGAAAACTGGAAATCCATATGCAACAAAATGTGTGAGCCCTTGAGTTCCAACACCAGCACCACACACATGCACACACACGTCTGTGCACACACATGTGTTCACGCACATGAAAGGTAAATGGATAGTTAAGTGTACAAAAATATTTATTGGTTGTATCTCCATTTTGTTTCTATGACTATTTAAAGTGAATGTCATAAAAGCACCATATTTAAAAGGTCATTATTTAACTATATAATTTGCAGTCATATTTAGTGATCTACAGAAAGTAGACACAGAGTTTTCTATGATCTCTGCTTTCCTTAAACATATGAATAGATGAAATTCTAACAATATGCCACATGGGTGAAAAGCCCAACTGATGTCAAGCACCAAAAACTGTAATGAAGTAACAGTTTTTTTCTCATCACTATTTTTCTCAAAAAGTCTTCCTTATTCATCATGCAAATGACGTAACTGTGTTTCCTGTAATAAAAGAGTGGTTTATTAATAGTTGAATTACTAGGGCATTTATGTAAATAAGAAGGCCTAATAACATAGAATTCAATCACTTGAAAATTTTACTCCTCACCATGTAGGAACTATTACGTGTAATATAATCCATATATTACTTTAAGCATTTCCACTTCTACTTTTTCCACACAGCTGACTATTTCTTCACTGTTTTCAAGAGACTGCAAGTGTTCTGTCCCTGAAAAAGGATCTGACAAAACTGTTTTCCTTGACTTTAATAACTTGGCATGTTTCATTTGATTACTTAACTCAAAACTTGATGCAATTCTAATTATTATATTATCTTTAATTATCTTTAAACTAATTTTCTTTCATTCCTAAGTTTTCTACTTGTTTCTCCCTACCAGTGCTTCTGCTGACAATGTTAATGAAAGTTAAGACAGTTCTTCTAATACGGTTCATCTAGAATGTAGCTAACCTGAGTGATTTGCTGAAGTTAACTGTGCAAAATTAAGTGACATGTTTTAAAAGTGATAGAGCTTTGCTAACTTGCATCACATTATATGGAAAATTACATGTGTGCTTCCATTATGTAAAAAAAAATATCTGTCCACTATTAAATAATGATTATTTAGAAATGAGTTTTGAAAATAAAAAGGCTTAAAGTTTATAAAAACTTAGAAAAATTTAGAGAGACAAAGTACCAGAGTCATTGTATAAAACACAATATTTAAGTGAAATAGTGCTTTCCAAAGTAAGATGCACCAGAGCAAGACTAGATTCTAGAAAATTCTAATTCATGTAACTAATTGTTGTTACTTATGCAATGGAAACCAAAATATTCTCAAACTTTGTAAACATGAATTTAAACATGTTTTAGTTTCCTTTGGTGTGTATAATTGGAGAAGTTAAAAACTATAATTCAGTCTTTATTATTTAATAATAAAGGGGGCTTTATAAATAATATAAGATTCCATTTCATATTATATTCTTAAGATCTTTCTAATATTATAAATTCTCCACACAAAATATATGCAAACTAACCTGGAAGATAAAGAAAAATGATAAAAGAGATATCACCACTATTCTATATTGTGAAGAGTTAAGATTTGAATTAAGTACTCCTTAAACATAATGAGATATTTCCTTGTAAATGTTTATGCTGAATATTGAGATATAATAGGCAGTGAAACACACAAATTGAAAAGAACAATTAATGATTCTTTAAATATATATACACCTATCTAATTATCAACCAGATAAACATATAGAACATTTACAGGACTTTAGAAGGTTCTGCATGTAAACACCTGCACCTAGAAGTGACCACCTGTCTGATTTCTGTGTCTCTTGTTTTGTCTTCTCTGTTTGTGATCTACATGTAAATAAAATAATTAGATTGTACTTTTGTGTTTGGATTTCTTCATTCAACATACCCTTTTATAGATTCATCTGGGCTGCTATATAATATATTGACAATAGTTCTTTTTAATTGCTTTATGGTATTCCATTAAACCAATCTGACCCTATTGACAGACACTGAAGTAGTTTGTAATTTGGTAAAATTGTTATACTTCAGTATTACAGCATTTGGAGCCACTACAGTACAGCATTCACAATGTTCATGATTCAATTTCAAATTACTCAACGTAAGAAGAAGAAAGAGGAGAAGCTCACACTGCACTATGGGAAAAGTCAAGAAACAAATGCTAACTGTAAAATTAACATAGTTACCAGGAACTTTAAAGAAACCATCATAATTATGCTCAGAGAGAAATTAAAAAACTGGAAATCTCAGCAAAGAAATAGAAAATGTAAGCTTTACAACTAAAAAATAGCTGGGATAAAAATAATCAACATGGGCTTACTGGCAAAATAGAAAGGACATGAGCCAGTGAACTTAAGGTAGACAAATAAAACTGTCCAATACAAGTAGGAAAAGACAAAATATAGGAAAAGATGGAAAGAGAAACAGGAATCTATGAGAAGAAAAAAAAAATCCCACGACTTACCTACAGGTAATTGAAGTTCCAGAAAAATTAGTTCCAGAAATTTAGTGAAAACCATAAATTTAGAAATTTAATAAGCTTAGTGGAGTCCAAAAGAATAGTTAGGAAAAAAATGTCTAGGTATATCTCAAACTGGCTTAAACCAAACAACAAAGAGAAATATTTGAAAACAGAGAATAATACTCATTACATCAAGGGGAGTAACTACGACAATGATGCAGACTTTCTTCAGAGATCATAGAAGATAACTGAACAATAAATTTAAAGAGATAAAGTAAATCAATGGAAGGGTAACTGATGTGATACAGCAATCTGTATATGGGGTAAAATTGGGAGTTCATAACCCACTTGAATCAAACTGTGAAATATGATATATTAAGAACTATGTAATGTTTTGAACGACCAACAATAAAAAAAAGAGATAAAGTAAAAATTCAAACAAGAATTCTATACCCAGTGAAACTATTTTTTAAGAGTAAAGGGAAGTAAGGGCTGGTTGTGTAGCTCAGTGGTAGACAGCTTGCCTATTATATCTAAGGCCCTGGGTTCGATCCCCAACACTGCAAAACAAACAAACAAACAACAACACATTCTCAAGAGTGAATGGAAAGGCAGGTATTTGCAAATAAAGAAAAACTAAATATACTGTCAGCAGTCTACAAAAAATGCTAAATAAAATTCATCACCTGAGCCAAGTATGCTGTTGCATACCTATAATCCCAGCAGCTGGGGAGGCTGAGGCAGGAGGATCATAAGTTCAAAGCCAGTCTCAGCAATTTAGCAAGGCTCTAAGCAACTCTGTGAGACCTTGTGCAAAAAAAAAAAAAGGGGGTAGGATGGGGTTGGAGGTATAGCTCAGTAGTAAAGTGTCCCTGGGTTAAAACCCCGATTAAAAAAAAAATAATTCATCACCTGAAAGGACATGATGCTAGGAAGCTTGGATCTTCAGGAATAAATGAAGAGCATCAGGAATCATAAATCTCTAAGTCAAGTATAATACACTACTTTATCTAAATTTTTTTCAAACATGTATAAACGCATAAGGCAAAAGTTGTGTTCATGATTTATGGGAACTATGACATTTAGATAAATATAAATAAAACAATAACAAAAAGGTCAGTAAGCAATGTGCAATAAATTCATATGATTATAAGCTTTCTACTTTTATATGAAGTGTTACTATGTTAATTTTAACTATAACATGAAAAGGTAAGGATCTATGTTACAATCTCTAAAGCAGCCATGAAGAGTAATAATGAAAAACATTTGACTAAAACTTAATAGATGGGTAAAAGTAGAATTCTAAAAACTATTCAAATCAACTGCCACTTCTCCCAAAAAACATCGGGAAGAGAAGAACAGAGAAAGAGAAAGAGGGAAGACAAACAGAAAGCAAGTAATAACTTATTAGTACTAAATCTGATGCAATTAATAGTTACACTAATAATAGGTTATCTATTATAAGTTAAGGGCAGTGATTGTCAGAACTTGAATCAAAAAAGTAAAATCAAAGTTCATGTTTCCATAATCAGATACATTTAACGCATTATATCTCAGTGTTCTATATGTAGAGCACTTATAAAAACTTAAATTGAGCAATTAAGTTACCATAGGTGGTATATTTGTTGTTAAACTTAAGTTTGTTTGTTTGTTTTAGTTGTAGATGGACACAATACCTTTTATTTTATTTATTTATTTATTTTTATGTGGTGCTGAGGATCAAACCCAGTACCTCATACATGCAAGGCAAACACTCTGCCACTGAGCCACAATCCCAGCTCTGCAAAACTTAAGTTTTTATAGATGTCCTATATATGGTATGCTGGAACATCATAAACAGAACACAAAAAAGATAAGGTAAAGGTAAATATACAGAAAAATATAAATAGTGCAAACAGTAAGCATTATAAAGTTTGAATAGGTTGGTTCATATCAAATACAATAGACCTATAGACAAAAAGCATTGCCTAAAACAAACAGGGATATATCATAAAAATAAAGGCAAATTTCTAAGGAAGATTTGACAATTATTATATATGTGACTAATAAAAACAAAATCCAAGAAATTCTCAAGATGCATAAAGCAATAACTGGCATAATTTAAAATATAAATATTAAATTCACAAATCACAGAAAGAGGGGCTGGGGATGTAGCTAAGTTTTTTAAGGGTAAAAGGTTGAACACTTGCCTCGCTTGCATGAGGCACTGGGTTCGATCCTCAGTTCCATAATAAATAAATAAATAAATAAAGATATTGTACCCATCTACAACTAAAATTTTTTTAAAAAATCACAGAAAGATGAGCTTAGAGATGCAACTCTGTGGTAGAGTACGTTCTTAGCATGCATAAGACCCTGATTTTAGTCCCCAGAACTACATGCACACACACACACACACACACAATCACGAAAAGAAATTTAAATGGTCTTCTCAAAAATTGACAGAATGGCTAGAAAAACAAGCAGTAAGGACACAGTTTATTACAACAGTTCTCTCAACCACCTTGACTTGATTGATATTTGCTATACACAATGACTAGAAAATACACATTACATTCAAGTGTACATGTTATGTTCACTGAGACATGTTATATAATGGAGTACTAAACAAATTTCAGTGAATTTCAAAGGACTAAAAGCAACCAGACTTTTATATGAAATGAAATAAAGTTAAAAGAAAGAAATCTAGGAAAAATGACAATTTTGTGGAAATTAATTAGCACACTTTTTAATAAGGCATAAGTAAAGAAGAAATAATAATAGAAATTGAGAAATAGTTTGAAATGATGGTAATGAAATTACAACATATCAATATTGGTGCAATACAAACAAAGCAATATTTAGAGGAAAATGATAGATTTAATGTTTAATTTTTTAAAAAACAGATGAAAAACAATGACCTAAGATTCCATCTGGTGGAAGGCAGGATCCTAAAATTCTCACCTCTAAGTGTGCCCGTCCCGTATATGGTAATCCTCCCTTCTCCTTAATGGATATTTTCCAAGACCCCCCAGTGGATCTTTTGGTCTTTTCCAAGACCCCCAGTGGTTGAAACCATGGATAGAACCTAATCCCATATACTATGGTTTTCCTTATACATATATATATCTATAATAAAATTAAATTTATAAATCAAGTACAGTAAACATTAATAAAAATAACTAATAACAAAATAGAAAAATTACAATAATATACTATAAAAACATGCAAATATTGTTTTTCTCTCTCTCTCATCAAAAAAATAAATATTGATGTTTTTGAACCTTAATTTACTATGGAAAACTGAAACTATGGAAAGAAAAACTGTGGATATAGGTGAGACTACTATAATGCATTCCCCTTGAGTGTGAGTGGGCCGAACCTAATCAGGTTGGCCCTTTTAAAAAGAGTTTAAAAGTAAAGAGACAAGAAGTCAGACATTTGCAGCTACAGCATATGTCCTTTTGTTGCCTTTAAGGAAAGGAACTGCTTTGCTGTGAAGAAGGTCACGTGCAAAGACCTGAGAGTGAACCTGGTGACAACAGTCCCTGACTGGCAGCAAGAGGATGGGATCTCAGTCACATAGCTACCAGTAAATTCTGTCAACCAACTGAGAGAGCCTAAAAGTAGATCTTTTCTTGAAACTCCAAATGAAGATGTAGGCTGCCTGACCAGTTGATTTCAGCCTTATTCTAGTAAGCTTTCCATCACTGTGACCAAAAGACCTGACAAGAAAATTTAGAGAATGGAAAGTTTATTTTGGCTCATGGTTTCAGAAATTCAGTCCATGGTTGGCTGACTCCACAGCTCTGGGTCTAAGGTGAGCAGAACATTGTGGTGAGAGGGTATGGTGGAAGAAAGAAGCTCAGGACATGATAGCTAGAAAGGAGAGGGAGAGGGAGAGGGAGAGGGAGAGGGAGAGGGAGAGAGAGAGAGGGAGAGAGAGAACGTGCTCCTCACACCAAAGACAAGACACTAATCTCAAAGGCACAACTGCAATGACTTACTTCCTCCAGCCATACACTACCTGATTAATTCATGTCAGTGGATTAATTCACTGATTAGGTTATATCTCTCATAATTTAATCACCTTGGCTCTAAAAATTCTAGCATTTTCTTGCACATGAACTTTTGGGGAACATCACATACCTAAACCATAAAAGCCTTGTGAGACACTTGGCAGTGGAACTAGATAAAACATGCCAAATTCCTCACTCATGAAAACTGTAGGATAATAAATTTAAGATGCCTTAAGCTGCTACATTAGTGTTATTTTTTAAATGCAGCAATAAAATAAATAAACTGTTCTAAAAATAGAGTACATTAACATTAACTGTGCAAAATTCAATGACGTGAGTTAAAAGTGATAGAGCTTTGGTAACTTGCAGCACATTATATGGAAAATTACATGTGTGTTTCCATTATGTAAAAAAAAAGTGTCCACCATTAAATAATGATCATTTAGAAATGAGCTTTGAAAATAAAAAGGGTTAAAGTTTATAGAAATTTAAGAAAAGTTTAGAGAGATAAAGTACCAGAGTCATTATATGAAACACAATATTTAAGTGAAACACTGCTTTCCAAAGTAAGATGCACCAGAGCAAGACTAGTGTTCTGTCATATAGCTCCTGAAACCCTTGGACTCTCCAGACTGCTAAGACTGTCTTTTTTGTACACTAATGAGATACTTGGTGGCAGGAGGCAGGAAGGTAGCATTAGAGTGGGAGATGATCATCTGAAAGACCAAGGCATGATCAAGAGGGTTGGGACTTTCAGCACTGTCCTGACAACCTCTGGGGAGGGAAGAAAGGTTGATGGTTAAGTTGATGGCCCATGGCCAGTATTTAATCAAGCATGTATATGATGAAACTTCCACAAATCCCTCCAAAACATTGATTTCAGAGAGCTTTCAGGTAGTTGGACATCTGAGAGTTCCCAGAGAGTGATGCTACAGGGAGAGGGCATGGGACATTAAACATTCCTAGACAGATAAAACTTCAAGTTAAGGGTCTCAGCTTCTGTTCCTATTGCCAGATATATCATGTTCAGCTTTTAACAAGGCATTCTAAAAGGCTAGGAAAAACACCCTTTGAGAGACAAAGCAAGCATAAGAATCAGACTGAAATTAATGAAGATTTTGAAAATATCAGGCAGTGAATTTCAAACAACTATAATTAATATGCTAATGACTAATCAAAAAGTAGAAAACATAAAATAAAAGATGGGCAAAATAAGCAAAGAGAATTCTTTCTCTAAGAAAGAATAAGAAGGAAATGATAGAAATTAAAAGACACTGTAACAGGAATAAAGATTTTCTTTAACCAGATCAACATTAAACAGGACACAGACAAGGAAAGAATTACTAAGTTTGCATATATGTTAATGGAAATCCCCCAAACTGAAATACAAAGAGGAAAAATAAATGGAAAGAGAAGTAAAGAAACAAATAAATATCCAAGAATTGTGAGATAATTTTTCAAAGTTGTAATACAGGTAATTGAAATAATAGAGAACAGAAAACAGAAGAGAAGAAAAGTTTAAATAGTAATAGTCAAGAATTTTCCAAAGTTAATGGCAGACACGAAACCATAGACCAAGAAGTTCCGATAAATATCCAAAATATCCACATCTATTCTGTAACAAATCCACACTGCAGAGAACCAAAGATAAAAGAAAGTCTTGAAAGAAATTAGAAGGAAAAAAATCTTATCTAAGGAAAAACAAACATAAGAATTACTTCTCATCAGAAGAGAGTGAAGTAAAGCATTTAAAGTATTGAATGAACAAGAATCACCAACCTAGAATTCTATATCCAGTGAAATTATCCTTAAAAATGAAATAGAAATCAAGATTTTCTCAAACAAAAAGTGAAGGAATTTATCACCAGCATATTTGCAATATGAGAAATATTTTAAAAGATTTTCTACAGAAAAGAAAAATTATGTCAGAAAATTCAGAGCTACATTTGTTTTAAAAACTGTTAGAGAAGGAATATATGAAGTCTACTTAAAATTCTTCAAAAGTCAATTTAAGCACATTATATAGCAAAAAAATATGTCTATCAGAAAATATCTGACTATAGAGATTTTAAGGGCAAGGATGTTTAATATTTCATTCCAAATTTATTTTATTCTTGCAATATAAATGTCGTCTATTGACTCCAACTTCCAACAAAGATGGCTAGATACATGAATTTTTTTTTTATTTTTAAAATCAAGGATCTGAGTCTTGGATTTGTTGTGGCCTCAGGGTGGTGATAAAGACCAGTCTCAAGCAAAGTAGGCCATATGTACTGAAGGAAGAATAAGTAGGAATCAGAAATGACCTATAGCAAAATTCCAGTAGGATTTGCAGATTCTTGGAAAAAAAATCTTGGGTAAAACCAGGACTTTCCAATGGAGCTCTTAGCTCTATTATTAAAGGGAATGAAAGGCAATCTCAAGTAGATTTGGAGGAAGTAGATAAAACCCCTAGTAACAAATGGGTTGCACTCATATTACATATATATATTTTTTAAAAATCACTTACCTCAAATGAATCTGCATTCAAATAAATACGAGGTGTGGTACTTGATATCAGTTTGCAGGAAAATGCTACAAACAGAGAAATAAAGATATATTTGAAGATCCAATGCCTTCGATGAGCATTGAAAACAAACCGTTTATATTCTTCCTTCATCATTCCCTCTGCTTCACGAGTATTTCAAAGCCTAATAATCTATCACAAAAACTGATCAAGATGTTATAGAGTGGAAGGGAATTAAAATATTGGTTCATTTTAGTATTAGCATTCAACTGACATAGAAATGATTTAGAAGATGAATACAACCAATAGCTAAATCTGCACTTAAAAATTTCTGTCATTTAAGTTAGTATTGTCTTTCTAGACCTGAGCTTAGATTCATGCTTTATAATTCCAAGTCTGCAGAAATTAAATTCTGATTTTATTCTTATTTTATCAACAGATTGGGGCTAAAAAGCCTCAGTGTGGCTAAAAGAAACAAACTTATGCAATTCTTCCAATAGTGTTTTGTTGTTGTTGTTTGTTTGTTTTGTTTGTCTTGAAAAGAGGTTTATTTAGTTCATGGTTTTGGAGGCTGAAAGTCCAAGTTTAGGCAACCCTGTTTGGTTCAGTCTCTGGTGAGGATCTAACATTAAATGGTCCTTCCTGAGGCTGAACTTTTTTTGTTTTGTTCTCAGGATCCAGGCACAAGGAACTACGGTTCCTCAAATATGATAAGCCTTGTGCTCACTGTTCTCTGTGCCTGGAATGCTCTATGAGCCCTAAGATACATCAATAAACTTAAAAAAAAAAAGATATTGAAGAGAGGAAGGAGTAATATAGAAAACTTGAGGGGGAAAAATACCAACTGGATATTGTCACCAATAATTAAATGTTTATGAGTAATATATATGACACACCCAGCTATCCTACTCCACGGTATGTATCCAAAATATTTAAAATCAACATACTACAGTGACATAGCCACATCAATGTTTATAGCAGCAAAATTCACAATAGCCAAGCTATGAAGCCAATCTATGTGCCCTTCAACAGATGAATGGATAAAGAAAATGCTATATATATTTATATTTTTTCAAGTATTACTCAGCCATAAAGAAGAATGAGTTTATGGCATTTGCCAATAAATGGATGGAATTGGAGACTATCATGCTAAATGAAATAAAGCCATTCCCCAAAAGTCAAAGGTCAAATGTTTTCTCTAATATGCAGAAGCTAATCCAAAATGGCTGGCAGGGTGAAGAAGAAGGAGGAGGAGGAGGAGGAGAAAGAGAAAGAGAAAGAGGGGGAGGAGGAGGGGAAGGAGGAGGGGGAGGAAGAGGAGGAGGAGGGGGGGGGGGAGGAAGAGGAGGAGGAGGAGGAAGAAGAGGAGGAGGAGGAGGAGAAAGGTCAGTGGAATAAGCCAAGGAAGAGGAGGAGGAATGAGATAAGGAAAGACAATGGAATTAATCGGACCTAACTTTCCTATGTGAATATCACCAGCATTTACATCTACAAGACACTAATTTAAAAACAACAACTAAAACTAAAATAGCAGAAATTATCAGTAGAGAGAAAGGAAAAGGAGGAAGGAGGAGGGGAGGCAAAGAAAAATTACTGAGGACTGAATTAGAACAAATTATATTCCATGCTCTTATAATTATGTCAAAATGAATAGTCCTAGAATGTACATAAAATTTTTATAAAAATTTCTTTACATGTGTTACCTATGTTAACTGCAGTTTCTTGTTTATCTCCTGTCAAGACCCATATTTTTATGTTTGCTTTCAGTAGAGTTGATATAGTTTCTGGAACATTTGCTTGAAGACGATCTTCTATGGCTGTGGCTCCAAGCAGCAGAAATTCCTAAATGTTTGTTGAGATTATTTTGTTACTAATTAGATATTAAAATTTTTAAGATGGGGGGCTGGGGATGTGGATCAAGCGGTAGCGTGCTTGTCTGGCATGCGCAGGGCACTGGGTTCGATCCTCAACACCACATAGAAATAAAATAAAGATATTGTGTCCACCAAAAACTAAAAAATAAATATCTAAAAAAAATTTAAGATGGAAAAAGGGAAAAAATTGGGGCAAAATATATGTAGGCTAACAATTAATTATGCCAAGTTCCACATATGCACAGACATTTTGGCCTACTTTTCCCATTGTTCTATTTAAGCATACCATGAGGCAGTGCAACATAATGGTTAAGAACACAGATTTGTGTCTTAACTGTATAAGTTACTAGGTAAATGATCATAAGAAAATCACTAAACTTTCTGTGACTCGGTTTCCTCATCGATAAGATGCAAACACCAGGGGGGGGGGAATTCTATTATTCAAGGAATTTTTATGAGTTAACATTTGTAAAGATTGAAATAATGTCTAGTAGTTTATAAATAGATAATAAATATACCAATTATCTTAATTATTATTGCTTTAAGGTAAATCTTTGGTACTAGAGACTGAACCCATAGGCCTTTTACTGCTGAGCCACATCCCCAACCCATTTTATTTTTTATTATGAACCAGGGTCTCACTAAGTTCCTTAGGGCCTTGCTAATTTGCTGAGGTTGGCTTTGAATTTGTGATCCTCCTGCCTCAGCCTCCTGAATCACTGAATTACAGGCGTGTGCCACCACACCTGGCTAAAATAAATTTTGATGTTCAGTCAGGTAAATTTCTTCTTTATACCATTATTCTCCAAAATATAATTGTAATGATAATTCTAAGGCTACTCTGATGTTTATATAAATTTTAGGACAAGCTGGTTAAACTTAATGTATTCCTGCATTGCAAAGTTTCACCTTTATTATTCTAGGTTTTTCTCCATATTATGAATACTTACCTTTTTATTTTGGTGCTTTGTTTTGTCTTTTTTAATAAGTTATTTCTCATTAAATGTTTTGGTTTAGTTTAAATTTTAATGATTTTTTAATATTTTTGCTCCTATTTGAATTATTTCCTTATCACTGGAGAGAGTCAGAGATTTGATGGCAGACAAAAACACAGGAAATAGACCAGATAACCTAAGATAGTCTGAGGTATGTTTCCCAGAAGCCAGAGCAGTCTATGAGTTTAAGAGTATATAACTTTAGCTATCAGTAGCTAAAGTCAAATTGAGATATATGACAAGCTTATTCTATGCTGATAATCAGATCTGAAATAAAATATTCACATGTATAAACAAGAAGTTGAAACTTTAACTTAGTCTTATTGACAAGTTGAATTTTATAAATGCTAAATACTCATTTAATCCTACTAGACATCTATATGTATTATTTTATTCTTGTGTCCTTTCTGCCACTATATTTTCACAATGTTTCTATATTAAAACTTTGAATTTTAATGTAAAATGTCCAACAATTGGCAGGAGGTATTTTCAGAAATGATTTATTATTCCAGGTATAGAACATTTTAAAAGAATACTTGTACTCTTTTCTTGATAAAACCACTTAAACTAGAAACAGGATGGAACTTCCTTAACCTTATAGCCACAGTTATCATCATACTTAATGGAGAAGAATTAAATGCTTTCCCCTTAAGATCATGAACAAAATGAGGATGTCTGCATGTCTATCTTCAAAAACTCTATTCACATCTTCTTAGAAGTTCTAGCCAAGACAATTAGACAAGAAAAAGAAATAAAGGAATCCAAAATGAATAGTTAGGAGATAACTATCTCTATTCACAGATGACTTACTCTATTTAGAAAACTGTGAAGAATCCTCTAGAAGAAGTAATCAAAACAGTGTGGTACTGGCATAAAAACAGACATAGCTCAATGGAATGAAAGCAAGAGTACAAAAATAAACCTCTGAGACTATGAGCAACTGATTTCAATAAGGATGTCAAAACAATTCAACATGCAAATAGTTTCCTCAAAAAATAATATTGGGAAACTGGACATCGACAAAAAGAAAATAAAGTTCAACTATTACCTTACACCACATGTAAAAATCAACTAAAAATATACCAACTACCTAAAAATAAGAGCTTAAAATATAAAATTCTTAGAAGAAAATATAGAAATATTTTTTTGATATTCGTCTAGAAAGAGTCTTCTTAGATGACACTATAACACAAGCAACACAATAAAAAATCTCATCAAAATTTAATAGCTTTATCCATATCAAAGGACATCATCAAGAAAGTGAAAACCTAAACAATTGTACAAAATATTTGAAAATTATATTTTGATAAAGGTCTTGCATTCATAACATAGAAAGAACTCTTACAACTCAACAATGAACACATATCTGAGAAAGAATTTGTAACTAAAATATACAAAGAACATTTCAAACACAGTAGTAAGAACACAACACAATTTGAAAATAGGCAAAATACCTGAGTGGGCATCTCTCCAAAGAACACATAAGATGTTAAATAAGCATATAAAAATATGCTTAATATCATATCCCATCTGGGAGTTATAAATTTAAATGAGACACTGTTAAATACTATTACAATGGCTAAAATCCCAAATGCTGACAATACCAGATATTGACAAGCAATGGAGCAACAGAAACTTTCATTCATCGCTGATGAAATACAAAATGGTAAAGCCACTTTGGAAAATAATGTGGTGGATTCTTACAAGGCTAAATTCTCATCAAATAATCTAGAAACTATACTTCAGTATTCACTCAAATGAATTGAAAACATATGTCCCTATAAAAATCTGCACTCAAATGTTTCCAGAGTTTTATTCATATTATCAAAACTTAGACGCTAATAAAAAATACTCCAACACCTGGAGACTAAATAATATGCTACTGAATGAACAATGGGTTGCAAAAGATATCGAGGAGGAGATTAAAAAATTCTTAGAGGTAAATGAGAACACCGATAATACATATCGAAATCTCTGGGACACTACGAAGGCGGTTCTAAGAGGAAACTTCATTGCATGGAGTTCATTCCTTCAAAAAAGAACAGTCAATAAATAAATGACCAAAAATTACATCTCAAAGCCCTAGAAAAAGAAGAACAAATCTACACCAAAAGCAGTAGGAGAGAGGAAATAATTAAAATCAGAGCTGAAATCAATGAAATTAAAACAAAAGAAACAACTGGAAAAGTTGACAAAACAAAAAATTGGTTCTTTGAAAAAAGTAAATGAAATTGACAAACCCTTAGCCATGCTAATGAAGAGAAAGAGAGAGAAAACTCAAATTACTAACATCTGTGATGAAAAAGGAAATATTATGACTGACATTACAAAAATACAGAAGATAATTAGAAATTATTTTGAAAATTTGTACTCCAATAAAAGAGAAAATATCAAAGGCATTGACAAATTTCTAGAGGCATATGATATGCCCAAATTAAATCAAGATGATATACACGATATAAACAGATCAATTTCAAGCAATGAAATAGAGGACACCATCAGAAACCTACCAACCAAGAAAAGCACAGGACTGGATGTATATACAGCTGAGTTCTACAAGACCTTTAAAGAAGAATTAACACCAATACTTCTCAATCTATTTCATAAATAGAAAAAGAGGGAACACTTCCAAACACATTCTATGAGGTCAATATCACCCTGATTCCAAAACCAGACAAAGACACCTCAAAGAAATAAAACTTCAGACCAATATCTCTAATGAGTATAGATGCAAAAATTTTCAATAAAATTCTGGCAAATCGAATACAAAAATATATCCAAAAGATAGTGCACCATGATCAAGTAGGCTTCATCTCAGGGATGCAAAGTTGGTTCAACATACAGAAATCAATAAATGTAATTCATCACATCAATAGACTCAAAGATAAAAATCATATGATCATCTCAATATATGCTGAGAAAGCATTTGATAAAATACAGCATCCCTTCATGTTCAATATGCTAGAAAAACTAGGGATATCGGGAACATAGCTCAACATTGTAAAGGCTATCTATGCTAAGCCCCAGGCCAACATTATTCTAAATGGAGAAAAATTGAAAGCATTTCCTCTAAAAACTGGAACAAGACAAGGATGCCTCTGTCACCACTTCTATTTAACATAGTTCTTGAAACTTTAGCCAGAGCAATCAGACAGACAAAGAAATAAAGAGATATGGATAGGAAAAGAAGAACTCAAATTATCACTATTTGCAGAAGATATGATTCTATATCTAGAAGACCCAAAACATTCCACCAAAAATTTCCTAGAACTAATAAATGAATACAGCAAAGTAGTTGGATATAAAATCAATACCCATAAATCAAAGGCATTTCTGTATCCTCAGAAAGAGAAATAGGAAAACCACCCCATTTACAATAGCCTCAAAAAAATAAAATAGAATACTTGGAAATAAACTTGAATAAAATTGTAACGCATCCCACTGTCATATATAAATAAAAATAGATAAAAATTAAAAATAAAGAATAGAAAAAGCAATCTTGAAATGCATCTTGAAAAATAACAGACTCAGAATAGCCAAAGCAATATATAGCAAGAAGAGTGAAGCAGGTGGCATCACAATACCAAACCTTAAACTATACTATAGGGCAATAGTAACAAAAACAGCATGGTATTGGCACCAAAATAGACCTATAGACCAATGGTACAGAATAGAGGACACAGAGACTAACCCACATAACTAAAGTTAACTTATATTAGACAAAAATGTACATTGGAGGAAAGATAAGCTCTTCAACAAAAGGTGCTGGGGAAACTGGAAATACACATGTAACAAAATAAAATTAAACCTCTACCTCTCACCATGCACAAAACTCAACTCAAAGTGGATCAAGGACCTAGGAGCTAAGCCAGAGACCTTGCACCTAATGGAATAAAAAATAGGCCCAGATCTTCATCATTAGAAGAAGGCCCCAACTTTTAAAAATAAGACTCCCATAATGCAAGAATTAAAA